GGTAGCCTTTATAGCATTCAGCTGTGAAGGAAAAACCAATTTATTTTACTCTGTCTTTGGTTGATTCTCCTTTAATCACTTTATTATTCTTGTCTGGTTGGTGACCAATGTGGTGAGGTTTTCTAGTGAATTCCATAAAATCTCTGGCTGAAAATATAGTAAGTGCTCTTCCTTTTAATGAACAAAAGAGGACCTATACCATGGACATTTCTGTTGGTAGATATTCAACCTAAAGTTTCCTTAAAACCGGCATTTTTATTCTAAAACAATTATGGTATACGTACATTTAAAAAAAGCAAAAAAAAAAAGTACAAATCAGAAAATTGTTAAAACACCTCAAAACTTTCCTTCTTTTGGGACTTCACATAACTTTCTTTATCCTCTACTTTCTTTATCCTCAATTTTCAGTTTTTATTTTTACATCTTGACTGGGGATTGGTTGCCTTTCTACAGTACAAATGGTTGCTGTGTAGGTGTCACGCAAGGTGGGGCATACCCAGTGACTCACCTTGTGTGAAGTGCTTGCTGCTTTGTACATGCTCTTCCTTGTTGATCTGTACTTTGCGTATCACAAGGTTCTTAGAAGAGACTGGAAAGACCTAAATCCCTCACTTCGAAGAATTCCCAGAGACATTCCAGTGGTCTCCATTCTGAATGCAACTAACTACCAAACATGTTGCTCCACTGACCTCATAGACTTACAATCTAATAATTGCCTGAAGCTGGAGATAGATAAGAGGGAGTCCTTGTTTACATACTGTCTAGTTAAACTGTGGGAACTGCGGTAAGAGAATATAATAGTGGTAGCTGCCAATGTGGATGGGTTTAAATGAGACTGGACCAATTGCTTAATGGCTACGGTACTAGTCTTGATTGATATGTATTCTTCACAAGCACATTCTCTGGAAATGTGAGAGAAAACTCCAACGCCCTAGTACTCCCCCCCGCCCCTGGGGCTGGTAGACTGGCTCACTTCTTGATATCCTGCCAACAGTAGGCAAAACCTTTTTTTATTCCAACAACTTTTGGGAAACAGGCTGTTAACAAGAAAAGAGCTCTCTTAGTGTGCTCTGCTACTCTTATCGTTTCCTTTTAAATGACTAAGTTTAAAATAGTTTTAATTCTACGAAGAGTTGGATAAGAAGTACTTCTTAATCTATGTATATTTCTACTGGTTTTGTATTCATTTGGTGAACTGATTTGAGTTCTAACTTTTGGACAAAGGTATAAATGTTACTACACAATGCAATATTCCTTTCAGTACTTCAGGCACAATGCCTCTTTATATCAATTGCAAAAAGCACATGTAGAAGGATTCTGTTGCATTTGCATCTATTGAGCAGAGAAGCCTCTGTTGTCATCTGGTATTTCTCCTCTTGTCCATTCGTATTAAGAGTAGGGAGGGAAAAGAGATGCTAACAGATTCTATTTGTAATAGATGTTTAAAAGAGTATCTTCAAAATGGAAGCAAGTACGACTCTGTATGGCTGCTCGTCTGTCTGTTTTAAAGGGGGATCTCAGTGAATCTCTTGTTCTACCCCATACCCCTTCCTTAGAGCAATTTAAATTCCTTAACATATGAGAATAAGTACTCTCTGGCAGACGCCTGGTGATCTCCTCAGCGAGCACATGCTCTTTTCCCCTGGTGTCTTATAAATATAATGCATGAGCTAACATAACGGGCCATTTACCGTAAGTCTGTTTATCAAAAGGTAATGATGTCATGAAGTGTATCTGCGCAACTCACAGAACAGAACATGAGTGCCCTCTGCTGGGTGGAGAGAAGAGTTTGCAGCTGAAGAAATCTTTTATTAGGGTTTAAGCGAAACTAGCCTGCGACAGAAGAAATCATAATGGAGAGCGGATGAAGAATTTTTGATAGAGGTTAACTGCAACTAAGTAAATAAGTAAGAAAGAAAGTAAGTAAAACTTTATTTCTTTCCCGCTCTATCTCCCCATGGGAGACTCAGGGCGGTTCACAACATAAAAAAGGCAAACATTCAATGCCATAAATGTACCACAACAGGCTTGACAATTCCAATTAAATAAATTAGCGAAGGTCAAAGTAGAGTGTATTTTATTGATACTTTATTGGTCACAGTATTATTCATATCTTATCATTCCTGTTCAGTGTGTCTTGATACACTGAACAATACTGAGAGAATTTCAATGGAATCATTCAAACTTCCAGAAGCCCCCAAGTTACAAACAAGATAGATTTTGTAGATTTCTTCTTAAGTTGAATTTGTATGTAAGTTGGCACAGGTACATTTTAAAGTGTAACTCCAGCCAAATGGATAAGAGAAGAAATAACACACCTGTGGTGTTGGTTTTGCTGTCTGTGCCCCTGTTCAGACGATTTCACCTCACTTTCTCTCCCTGTGATAATTGGATTTTCAGGAGTGAATTCCCCTTTTAGTGTTAGATTTCTTTCACTTCCTGTTTGTTCTTAACTATGAGTCATTTGTAAGATGGATGTTTGTAACTCGAGGACTGCCTGTAGTTTCAGTTCCTAATTTCTTTATTTTTGCACCCTCTCTTACTAAATAGGACTAAAGACAAAATGTATGAACAGATTGGTGCAACCTCTTTTTTGCTTTCAGACTGAATTTCATGATATACCCAACAGATATCGCGTAAAATATAAACAACGTGTTACTAGGAAGAATAGGCGATTCAGAGTTCCTGGCACTTTTATGGAAAATCTTTACAGTTCCTTTGAAACCTTTTTTTTAAAAAGATAGATAGTCCAGCAGTTTGTGAAACTGAAATTTAGAAGTGCTAAGGGAGTAACAATGATCTAAACTTCTGGATAGGTAATGGATTTTTTTTTTAAAAAAAATGTGTGCATAAAAAGAACTGCATGCCAATTTCTTATTTCCTGACAGTTTAAACTCATTACAGAAGTTAGAGAGAGCAGGAGTATAGTAGGGAGGACCAACTGGGTTTGTAATATTTTCTAGAAACACATAGTGAGCCATGGAAACATGTCCAGCCTGAGTACTTGCAGGATAAGAAGTATTGGCAACGAGTTTCAAGTGCCATTGGCTTTAAGGTATGACACAAGATGTTCAACCCTCCCCCCCTCCAAAAAAAAAAGCTGCTTCCAAGAGCAGAGCCGACACATCTGTCCAAGAGGAATCAAATGTAGGGCCATCAGCAACAGGCAGTATGACTGCAAGATGATGCAGGGAGCCCAATAGGTAGACTGGGGCAAGGATATTGTCCAAGCAAAAACCCAGGCTTTGATTAAAACATTACAGGCTAAGGCCATGAGGGGGGAAAATGGGCTGCCTGAATATACAACCATGATGAAAGCTTTCTTCAGTCTCAGTTTTCCCCTCCATTTGAGTAGATAGGGACAAGCTTGCGGATCAGAAGATCCCTGGTTTAAATGCTGGCTGTCAGATGGAAGGGGGAGATATATTCATCATGTCCCTAGATGTGAGAAATGTTAATGGCCACTTCCCTTCTTGGCAAGTACAAAGAACTTAAGAGTACTTATTAAACAATTATAATCTATTTCAAAATATATCCGGTAATATAGGTGTTTCTCTCACTCATACAGGAAAAGGACCTTTCTATTGACCAGGGCTTCTTAAACTTATTCCAATTACAATCCCTTTAACTCGATAAATTTTTACATGACCCCAGGTACCGGTATATAAGTATATAAAATAGGTATAAAAATCAATCATTTATTGATAATAAATAAGCATGTGGAAGGCTTACTAAACAGACTGATTTTCCATTTTGTGGAGTGTAGTTTAATCATTTTTTGTAGAGTACAATGTAAACACTGAATGTTGTTGCTAACAGATTTGTGTAAACAGGGTGGCATTCAGAATTACTGTTGCCAAATTTTTCATGACCCCAGCACTGAGTTTAAGAGTCCCACTTGGTGTCAGGACCCACAAGTTGAGACGTTATGTTTAACACAGTAAATTCAATGTTTTATCAAGGCAATTCAAAAATAAAATTAAAGTGATTACTTGGACTAGGAATCCATTTTACACATCAGCTACCTGATTATTTGTCTGATGAAGGGGTAAAAAACTTTGCAGCCATTGCAGTCAATTCTTATATCCCCACACGGAACCTATGACCATGCAAAAACATTATATTGTGTGGCATGGCCTCAAAAGCAGTAACAGTGGGGTTGGATAGCTCCTTGAACAACAGCAGTTGGGAAAGTTCCATGCTAAAGAAGCAGTGATTGCTAAATAAAGGCAAACAACTCAATCACCTATCAGAAAATTGTATTTTGACTCAATGACAATTTTGTTGCTATAAGTAGACTAAGAAAAAAATGAGAGGCGTGTTCTCTACAATAACTAGTATAGCAAGTGATATCACAAGACATTGAGTTTCACAACCCAAAGCAAATGCATATTTACTTTGATGTGATTATATAACTATACAGCTCCCACAACAGTATAAATGCACTTTAAAATCACTCAGTACTTCATTTGAAAAAAATGGGTTCATATCTTAAAAATACTGTACCATCTGCTTCCTTTTTTTACCTCCCCATTCCTTCCGCCTTTAAAAATACGTATTTGATTGCGTAAAATACATAATTTATACCATTGCAAAAAAACCCTTAGTTACAATTTTATCAAAAATTCATCAATAGAGAAAATAATCAAGAAATTGAAAGCAACTGATCATTATAATATCAATGTTAAAAGGCAAATCTGATGTACAATTTCCCAACATCTTTTCCTATAAATTAGTATGTGTACTTAAAAGAGAACAAATGAGGGGAAATCTTATGTAAAAAACTTATCCTGACATTACACATGTGTGTGCTTGCACACACACACACACACACTTTTAATCACTACCTTATTTTTCCATTAAGGCCATGAATCATGCTCTGTTATCTACCATATAAAAAAATTTACAGGACATTTTTTTTTTACAATTCTAGGAAATTATCCAGGCAATCACAACCATGTATTTTACAGTTTTGCAAATATAAATAAAATTACACTCACTTGGAAGTACTTACACCAACCAAGCCAGACCAAACTCCTTCCCGGACATCAGGTTTAGATGTGGGACGCTTGAAGAATGCAATAGCCAATGTAAGAAAAAGAATGAGAGAGAGAGAGAAGATAATTCAATTTATTACTTATTTCAATTATACTAATGTTTCTATTTTGCCTTTACATCATAAGAAGGGGATCTTCACTATAACTGACAATTGGACAAAATTGGTCCAAGAAACTTCTGGTGTTACCAATTCCTACTTAGGCCCTTCAGCTTTTAATGTTACAATTCCTTAGCTAAAACTCAAGTGGCCATCAAAGACAGGGTTTTTCAGCTCAAGTTCCATGGAAATCTTGGATTCCATGAGAGATAATTAGGTGTTCTAAGAGAGATCATGACTGGGAAAACACTGTTTTTGAACTGGAGATATAATAATGTGTATCCAAGGGTTCCCTGGAACAGGACAAGTTTTCAATCATTCCTCCAGTCAAAAAAGGTAGGGAAAAGCTGTTCTAGGGATTCTGTAGTCTTCAAGAGATTCTGTGACAAGTGTAAGGAGCTCTTTTAACCATTTTAACTTGCCTCTGACACACAAAGTCAAGGGAGAGGACGAAATAACAAAAGGTTGAGAATTCATGGCACACTATGCCGAACGGGATTTGTGTGTTATCATACCAATAACTATGGGAAACTTCCGTCATTGTGATTGTTGGTTTCTTGCATTTTAAGTACAAGTTTACATATTTTATAACTATTACCAGAAGCATGCACACAAACATTTACTTAACCTCCATTAATATGAAATTTGTTGAAATATTTATAGCACAAAATTATACAGTTTTGTTTATGTGAAAGAAAAGCAACTAACTGAAGGATATGATTACCTGTCAATTCTAAAAAAATTAGCTTGTTTTTAACACACAGTCACGCAGTGAATGTGTGTGTGTGTTTTTAATGAACTAAAATGTTTTGATTGTTTTAGTCACAATAAAATTCAGTTTGATAAATATATTACTATGACTGAAGTTGCATTTTGCTAACAAGTTCTTGAGATCATCAAACAGCTTTAGATTATTGGTGTACTCCTGTGTTTTAGCCTTCTCAGCAGTAAATGGTTTTGTTGTTTATTTGTTCAGTCGCTTCTGACTCTTTGTGACCTCATGGACCAGCCCATGCCAGAGTTCCCTATCGGCCGTGGCACTCACAGCTCCTTCAAAGTCAAGCCAGTCACTTCAAGGATACCATCTATTCGTCTTGCCCTTGGTCTGCCCCTCTTCCTTTTCCCTTCCATTTCCCCCAGCATCATTATCTTCTCCAAGCTTTCCTGTCTTCTCATTATGTGGTCAAAGTACTTAATCTTTGCCTTTAATATCCTTCCCTCCAGTAAGTGGTCGGGTTTGATCTTCTTGTGGTCCAAGGCACTCTCAGAATTTTCCTCCAACATCACACTTCAAACGCATCTATCTTCCTTCGCTCAGCTCTCACATCCATAAGTTATTGGGGAAATACCTTTGTTTTAACTATGCAGATCTTCATTGCCAGTGTGATGTCTCTACTTTTAACTATTTTATCAAGATGAGTCTTTGCTCTCCTTCCAAGAAGTAATCATCTTCTTCCCTCTATTTGCCAGTTATCAATCAGTCTGGTTGCCATAATCATTTTTTTTAATGTTTAACTGCAACCCAGCTTTTGCACTTTCTTCTTTCACCTTGGTTGGAAGGCTTATCAGCTCTTCCTCAGCAGTAAATGGTAGAAAACCTTTTTTTTTTCAAAGATACAAACTAAGAAATAGCAAGAGCATAGAGATGACTTCAACTGTGCTTTTAGTGTGTTTTAAGCATTAACATATTTTAATAACATCTTTTTCAAAGTATTATACATTATTTTAGTTATATTTTTAATTTATATTGTAAGCCATCTTGGGCCTCATACTGGGAGGAAGTCAGGAGATAAATTAAATAATTAAAAATGGAAATGAACTATTGCCTTCACACAGAGGCGGCCCTAGGTAATTTTCAACGGTAAGCAAACAGTATCCCCCCCCCCCCAACCAGTCACTGATATATATTTTCTGTTCGTCGTGGGAGTTCTGCATGCCATATTTGGTTCAATTCCATCATTGGTGGAGTTCAGAATGCTCTTTGATTGTAGGTGAACTATACATTCCAGTAATTACAACTCGTATATGTCAAGGTCTATTTTCCCCCAAGAGTGCCTCAAGAGCGCCTCTGGGCAAAATCAACTATACTGCAAAGGCTTACTTTGCGTAATGGTTGAGTCGCCCCTGCCTTCACATGAATTACCTAGAATCTTTGGCTAACCTCTATGGTAGTCAAGACACTGAGGTAGATGGGCCTTAGTCTGATTCAGAACACCTCTTTATTTTATTTACATGTGTTATCTTGAGACTGACTTCTCTCCAGCCCACAGTGATTACCATGCTAATTCATTCAAATTGGCTCTCAAAAAACTGGCAATATTTTCAGAGCTAGAAAATCTTCATTGCATCTGTTCAGGCTTTTCGGATTACAGAAGTGGAAAAGAGAACATTTCAATTATCTTTCAAATACAACAAGATAATAGAATAGTTCTTGAGGTTCTTCTGGAGGTTACATTCTAAACAAAAGGCTCACAATCTTCTACAGATATGGAAACCATCGTGAAGTGTTCTTTTATATGCATTGTTTGTGAATGTAGGAAATAGACAATACTTGCTACTGGGGGCTATTGCTGGATGGAGGGGGCATGACCCAGCATAACTCCCTAAGAGAAGCAAAATAGTCACTTTCCAAAAATAAACAAGAAGAAGGAATGAGTAGAGTGCTGCAGTTTTAAAAAAATACCAGCTTTCTTCAGCAAAGGGGGTACAGAGGACAGAGGGACAAGCAGAAAGCTCCAAATGCAGGAAACAGTTTCCTTATATGGGATCATCCGCAGGCGACAGAGCTCAGTTGACTGGAATGATTGTGTCACAAAATGTGAAGCCTTCAGGGGCCGCAGTGAATGGAGTTTTCTGATCTTTAAATGATTCCTCCAGATTCTTTAGATGCCAAACTCAGTAGACCATAGTGCCAAAAAAGGAACATTTTGAGATGGGATGTTTCAAGAAAGCACACCACATATGGGTGTAACTTCACGCATACACGAGACCCTATTCCATCATCCTCTATTGCACCCTCAAATATAACCTAATATATCTAATATAGTCTCAAGAATTTGGGCATGCGCACAACATAGCATCTATTGCATTTTAGAGAGAGAGAGAGAGAGAGAGAGAAGGTTCTAACTATGACTTTCCTACTTTACCTATGATTGTGCTATCATTCGCACACCAGAATACATCAACCCCAGGCAACAGTCTAATTTTATGTTATAGGAAAAAGTCTGTTAACTAAAAATGGAAAGGCATTTACTACTTCTCATAACTGTACAACACCCCCATTGGCTGGTTATTGTTGTTTTTAAAAGACTATCCAAACTGCACTAAGGATCCTCCTTCCATTCTCCAATGTTGTGTGGGGATATATATGATGCCCTCTTCAATAAGGAAATTCTATTTTCATTAAAAGATCATTTATTAAGGCCACCAGAAGACTTACTATCTATCAAGATATCAACCAGAAAGATGATAGTAGAAGACATTAGTATTTACAGAGCAAAGGGATGTAGCTCATACAGCCAAAAGATATAATATAAAGTCTGACTGAGTCGTGATAAGACTTCAGAGAAAACACATCAATATAATCTTAATTCAATTGTATGCTTCAACTTCAGAAGGAGTAATTGAAAGATTCTGTGCTGAAGTCCAAGAGGAAATTGATCAAACATGAAAACACTATTTCTTGTTAATCAAAGACAATTGGTATAGATTGCAATGGATTCAATAACATGGATCTAAAGGCAAGCTCGCTTTTGGATATCCATAATCTAATAGATACGATCTTCAGATATGCCTGTTTTGTTTAAGTTTATTGGGGATTTGCCATAAGAGATCAAATTATTTTAAAATAAAAATAATAAATTCCTGGCCCTTTTCTTGCAAATATAATGACCTATTAGGATGTCAGGAATTGATTAATTAATTCATTGAATTATAACAGACCCTGAACATCACTTTTCAACAACTTATTTGCAGGCACAAAAAAAACCTTTAGCAGAATAACCAATACAGAGAAACAGAAATAAATTACTAAAAAGGAAGAACAAGAACCTAAAAATCAAATATATATTAGTCAAGAAAAGAGTTTGAAGGATTAAAGTGAAGAATAGTTATAGACAACATGCATGAAAACTGTGGAGAGAAAGAAAAAATGTACAAGGACATGTGGGATCAAATATAGCTTCTTTTGCCTATAAAAATATTTGAGCTCTTCACGAGGAAAGAATGGCATGAAAGCAAATGAACAAAAAATGTCAGGAGAAACAAAAATCAGATATGATTGGAATCAAGAAAACATATATGAAGTAAGGTGAAAAGATATTCAAGATCACATATGGAAGTGGAATTAAGATTATGATAAATGTTATACAATTAGGTCACCTCTGTATACTTTATATAAAATTTACACACACACATATGTATATGTAAATATACATTGCTTGTTGAGCACTTTGATAGGACAAAATATTGTCAGACTCTATCCTGGTGTAGGGTCAGGAAAGTTTCTTTCAACTAGGATACACGTGTTTTACTATTATTAGAAGTTGTAAAATTACCACTTTTGATTGGTGGCTTTATATGCAAATAGTTATGTTATAATGTATACACTTTGGATTTTTTTTTAAGGAACTAGAAATAAGAAAGGAGAAGTAATTAGAGGTAGTATAACAAATGTTGGCATAATTGGGAGGGGGGGAATAGGTTCATTCTCCCCATATGTGGTGGGATTGCAAAAAAATTCTGAACGATTACAGTAAAATTAGAAATGTAATGGAAGAAATAATAGGAAAAAAATAAGGTGGCATAAAGCCAGATTTACGTCTCTCAGTATAGAGGCAAAGAAAGATAACAATAATTGGGCAGAAATCTTAAAATATGAGGGTTGGAACTTTAATAGTGGCAGCTATTTATTT